GAGCATGCCAACAAAACAAACTCAGAGACCATAACATAGTGAAGCAGTCCGGAAGTTTTATATAGGTGTTACTCCCTTTGTTACACCCTGGTTGATCGACTACATAGAATGAAGTCGGTCGAAACACGCTGGAATGCATTCCTTTCCAAACGGTCAAATCGGTTTGATTGTTTATTTGTTTGTTGTTTAACGCCGCACTCAGAGATATTCAAGCTATATGACGGCAGTTTGTAAATAATTGAGTCTGGACCAGCCAATCCAGTGATTGCCATCTTGAGCATCGGTCTGCGCAATTGGGATACGATGACATGCAGTAACTAATTCAGCGAAACTGACCACCCAATCCCCATCTTCCCGAGGCAAGTGAGTTAACTGACAATAAAAGTCCAGTTTCCACCCTTGCCGAACTAGTCTGGAATTATGGAGTTACATTTTGGCTGGACTAACGAGTCTATGCATAGTCCAATCAAAATCGAGCTCGAAATCGAAATCCGGTTCGTAATCTGTCATGCAGAGTTCGGTCGACTGCAGGATTTGCAAAGCATGTGCACCGTTAAGTCGTTGTCAACAAATATTTTCTATATCTTTTCATGTTTTTAATGAAGGTGCTCATGTGATTTGATGCACTTCATGATGTAAGACTCATTTTATCACAATATATAGATCTTGATTATCGATCAGATCGTCTTGACTGGGCGCCGCAGTTTTGTTTGAAGCAAATGCAAGTGATACGAGAGTTGGAATCTGATTGGTCCATAGGAGAGGCATAGAAGGGACATAACTCGTAATACCCACTGGTGGCGCTACGGTCGAGCCCAGGAATTCCAGTCTAGTTCGGCAAGGGTGGAAACTGGACTTTTAAAGTCAGGTAACGCTCTTGCCTCGGGAAGATGCCCAATCCCGTAAGTCGCATCTTACGACAAGCACAGTCACCTTTTACGGCAAGCATGGTTTCTGAAGACCCATCATAACCCGGATTTTAACGGGTTTGTCCCTTCCTTACAATATAAATCATTTTGCTGAAGACCTATTCTAACCCTGATCTTCCCTTGTCCGAATCGGTGTCGGTGGGTAGGCATGGTGGCCTTTTGGGATCTACTTATTTATTTTGTTAGGGGTGTAAGACAATAGTGAATTGGTGTTATTGATGACCCAATATATTCATACAATTTTGTATATATCGTAATATTGTAATTGCAATCTATATCTTTTATAATTAAAAAATACAACTTTTTACACCCAATATGTTTTTCAGCAATTTTAACAAATGCACATCACCACTCGGCCACAAAAGCACTATGCCAAAATAACCCCCCCCCCTCCCACACACACACACACACACACACACACACACACACACACACACACGTGCAGGCACCTCGCGATATAAGTGAAATAATTTTGAACTTGAAGTGAAATCACATTTCACATCACTACTATTGACTAATAAATAATAATGATTTTACCAAATTATGTCCTGTAATCATTCTTAAGACTGACTAATAAACATCTGTGTGTTACATATTTCTTACCTACAGTTCCGTTTGTAAGGTGTTCTCAGGTGGTATTAAACGCCAAACAGTTCAAAGCTTTGATTTCACATGCTATGTATCAATAACTAATTTTAATCACTGGATATATAATACATACAAATCATGTGGTAACGCACGGTTTAAAAAAACTCTCTCATGGATGGAGAAATATTTCGTCTAAATACTACCCTTAACACTTAATGAGTGTCTGCTACCATACCTATCTTTACACCCCTAACTTGGGCTGCTCTGTTTTGAGATCATTGTTAATCTCCAGGGGCCCATTCCACAAAGCGATCTTAGTGCTATGATTGTCGTAAGCCTAGGTTAAAGATGGGAGTTACGATCATATTAGCACTAAGATCGCTTTGTGGAACGGGGCCCAGGAACTGATCCGTCTAATATGCTTGACTATTTTCTATATTCTTGACAACATTTTCGACCGATCAAAATGACACAAATTATACTGAACGCGATGTTAAGCCCTATTTCACAGTATCACACCAAGTTGACTCCCACACAAGATGCTCTTGATCAGACCAGCACATGGCGGCAGTGTGTTGACTGCACACGGTGCCATTTCGTGACTGCTTCTACTTGTGGGCCATCCTCTGCCACGTGCAGTACCTACTCCGTTGTATTACATGTGAACACTATTGCCATGCCTGCCAGCACACCCATACTCCTCCAACTGTTGTTACTACTAACTCAACAACCGAATTTAGAAAATAATCGATTTTGATTGGTCAATTAGAAGTATCAAATCACAATAAGCCCCCTCTGATTGAAACAGACGATTTGACGTCCGTATCACCGCGGAAGCTAATATTGTTAGAATAGTACTCCTTTTATAGTCATTGTCGCTAGGAATATAAATACTTTATATGTTCAGTTATATGCTAGAAAATGCACAGCTGCGGTTACAACGATATTCAAAGGATGTGTGGCAATATTTTTATGCAGAAAACACCATAGAAATCTGTAAAGAGAATGTATTTCACGTTTTGAGGACAACAGAGAACTTGCTGTTTGGCGCTTTTCTTTGTACGACTGGGACGTATTATCCTTTGCGTACAAAGAGCGATATGGCGTCACAATACTGACGCGCGGTGTAGAACGAGACCTGGGCAAGGCTTGATTCATGGTTTTCTTTAGGACGCCCACCTCATGTTAACTTACGACGTTGGCTTGCTACATGCTTTCAGCGCATGTCATAAGTTCGAAAACAATGTTGCTTGAGCATATAGAGCGCCATATTTTGTGTAAAGGCTGTTGTCGGTGATTCTGTAAATTCTGACCGATAACCCACTCAATCCATGCCGCTTCACTCAATATATTTTCCAACAACAAAGAGTTTTATTTAGTCATGGTAGGATCCGGTTGCGGATGTTACTGGTGCTACGACACAATGCGGTTGTGGATGCTACTGCTACTATTACAAGATATGGTTGCGGATGTTACTGGTGCTACGACACAATGCGGTTGTGGATGCTACTGCTACTATTACAAGATACGGTTGCGGATGTTACTGGTGCTACGACACAATACGGTTGCTGATGCTACTGCTACTATTACAAGATACGGTTGCGGATGCTACTGCTGCTACTACAAAATAAAGTTGTGGATGCCCCTGCTGCTACTACAAAATACGGTTGCGGATGTTACTGGTGCTACTACGAAATACGGTTGCTGATGTTGCTGCTGCAACTACGAAATACGGTTGCTGATGCTACTGGTGCAACTACAAAATACGGTTGTGGATGCAACTGCTGCTACTACAAAATACGGTTGCTGATGTTACTGGTGCAACTATAAAATACGGTTGTGGATGCTACTGCTATTATTACAAAATACGGTTGCTGGTGTTGCTACTGCAACTACGAAATACGGTTGCTGATGTTACTGGTGCAACTACAAAATTCGGTTGTGGATGCAACTGCTGCTACTACAAAATAGGGTTGCTGATGTTACTGGTGCTACTACACAATATGGTTGGCTGGGTAAAATACTCCGATCTGCCTATGATCCTTGGTCTGCCAGCACAATCCGAGTGTTCTTGTGTTGAAAACGTCGTAATATTAATAATATTCAAAGTGGTAAATCGTCCATGGCTTTTTCCCATTTGCACGTTCATTCTTTTCGAAATGCTACTGCTGCTGCCACTACACAATACGGTTGCTGATGTTACTGCTGTTACTACACAATACGGTTGCTGATGTCATACTGCTACTACACAATACGTCTGCTGATGTTACTGCTGCCACTACACAATACGGTTGCTTATGTTACTGCTGTTACTACACAATACGGTTGATGATGTTACTGCTGCCACCACACAATACGGCTGCTGATGTTACTACATAATACGGCTGCTGATGTTACTAATGCCACTACACAATACGGTTGCTGATGTTACTAATGCCACCACACAATACGGCTGATGATGTTACTACTGCTACTACACAATACGGTTGATGATGTTACTGCTGCCACCACACAATACGGCTGCTGATGTTACTAATGCCACTACACAATACGGTTGCTGATGTTACTGCTGCCACCACACAATACGGCTGCTGATGTTACTACTGCCACTACACAATACGGTTGCTGATGTTACTGCTGCCACCACACAATACGGCTGCTGATGTTACTAATGCCACTACACAATACGGTTGCTGATGTTACTGCTGTCACCACACAATACGGCTGCTGATGTTACTACTGCTACTACACAATACGGTTGCTGATGTTACTGCTGCCACCACACAATACGGCTGCTGATGTTATTAATGCCACTACACAATACGGTTGCTGATGTTACTGCTGCCACCACACAATACGGCTGCTGATGTTACTAATGCCACTACACAATACGGTTGCTGATGTTACTGCTGCCACTACACAATACGGCTGCTGATGTTACTGCTGTTTCAACACAATACGGTTGCTGATGTTACTGCTGCCACCACACAATACGGCTGCTGATGTTACTAATGCTACTACACAATACGGCTGCTGATGTTACTGCTGTTACTACACAATACGGTTGCTGATGTTACTGCTGCCACCACACAATACGGCTGCTGATGTTACTAATGCTACTACACAATACGGCTGCTGATGTTACTGCTGTTACTACACAATACGGTTGCTGATGTTACTGCTGCCACCACACAATACGGCTGCTGATGTTACTCATGCTACTACACAATACGGCTGCTGATGTTACTGCTGTTACTACACAATACGGTTGCTGATGTTACTGCTGCCACTACACAATACAGTTGTTGTTATTTCCACTTCTCGCTTTGAAACGTTCCCGCCGATGAGTCATTCTCTCACACTGACAGGACATCTGTAGCGCTGATGTCGCTCTGTACAGCCGGGGCGAGGATGTTGCAGCTGGGGACTGGCTTCAGCCTGCATCTCCTGGGATGTACGTTACCGCAGGTACACATCTGATAACGTCAGAAATGTCTCCACACTCACTTTACACTGTCACTACACAGACCATAGTTGGCGTGTAGACATGACGTATGTGTTTGACACCAGCTTCTGCAGGGCACGAGTTCCTCCCGCTGTTTCCTGCAGCTAATCCCGTCATTTCAAACATACCAATCGTACAACTGGACGTAAACAGCGACACAATGTCCCTCTCATTATAGCTGAACTCACACCAGGGCCCCGGATAGCCTCACACCAGCCCTTACTCTGGATAAAAGATGTAATCCCGTCAAGGTTAGTGGCTCGGCAAAAATACAAGCAGACATAATTATCACCTATTTGGTGACGGTGAACTTACATATCCTCATCATCGGGCCTCTGATTAGTCTGATTTGCCCGGAACATGCATATATAACTGAATATATTCTGGGGTCCTCTTCCTACATCTGTCACATTGGGAACAAGCTGTGTGGCGGTGGTGGTTGTGATTCGCAGTGAGTACCCTCTTCTAATTTACGTGTCAGTTTTACTGTAAACACATTAATGTGTAGCATAATGAAAATATCGTCATACAACAACGATGACGACATATCGCTGATTTACCATAATATCATCAAAAGACGATGTATACAAATTGAAAGGATAATAGGGTTTGACAGTTAGACTTTGGTATGATGATATTATTTATTTTCTCATAGGATTCTGAATCATGTTGACAAATACTCGGGAATGTTTCAACCAAGCGACTGAGGTATAATGTTGTATTGTGGACGACCAGAGGCTATCGTAGTTATACAGAGATTTGTATTGATTTTTGAGCTGAACGTCAAGGAACCTGTCTCATGGACACTACGAGTGTCAGTGTCATGTTGTCCTTAACAAACACGAACACCAGTTCAGGCTCTCGAGGTACTGCAATTAGAACATCACACTCCTGTTACGCGTTGATCATTGACGGACGGAGATTTCATCTCATACCCACTGGCACAGACCACTCTCATGTAATGAATCACAGGGGAACTGCTATTAGCTGTGGACACTTTGACGTTGTAACCCGAAGCGCACACGAAACTGTACCTCTCGGTTGATTTTATCATATGGTTTATATATCATAAGTAAGCAATATTATATCCCAAAAATGAACTGTACTTCTACATGTTTTTTATATTTTTAAAAACTAATATTTGTTTTAAAACTTTACAAAAATCGCATGAAGCACAATTGTTGATGGGTATCTTAGATATCTTATCTTTGAAAATCAATAAATTTGCTTTCTTCGGCCCAAATTTACATTTCAAACATGGTAGGGGTCATGTGGTTGCAAATTCATTTCTTAACCAGATTTGAACCGATTCTCTTTTTACGCAGCATGCCCCAGCCATAGGTTACAAGCTGTTGTAGGAACGAATGATGGTTAAACAGACATGTTGTGTTCCTCATAATGAAGAAGTTTACATCCATAAATTCTCTTCCTTAGGCACAATCAAATTTAACAACAGTTATTTCAATTACTTACAAAAAATCGATACCCTTTCAGTGCCCCGCAGTTCATGTTTATGATTATCACTATTAATGTGCTGATTGTTAAATGATCCATAGTAGACATTTGATACGAAACTATTGCGAAAAGGAGCCACGGTTAGTTTCCAGTTAGCTCAAAATCTCCCATTGAGCTCTAATGCAGTCAGTTGTGACACAGGTGTTAATTGGTTGAACAATGGGGATTGTAGTATAGTCTGTTTCATCTCCTGACAACTGCAGACACCAGACATAGTTTGTATGAAAAGTAATACAATTATTTTTATTTTATATAGTAATTTATTTATTTTATATATCAAATTTATAATTGTTCTCAGATACATAAAGCACATGCCACTCATAGGCCACTCGGGGACATATGTATGGGAGGCAGCATCTAGATGAAACAGAAGCCCAATGTCATCATCTAGAATATCTGTTTTCAAGGCTGTTGTCAAGGAGACTGTATTTCTGCTTTCTAGTTTTGGTCATGCCGGTTTCTGGGTGTTGCAGGATCTTAAGTTCAGGGGGCACGGGTGGCCCAGTCGTCTAAGGCGCCGCGATTCGCTGTGCAGAGTTGGGTCCCTTAGGCACGCCAGAAACCTATGATTGTGGGTTCGAATCCCGGTTCCCCCCGATTATGTTTCTAGGTTTGTCAGCACCATACCCGTGCTCGTGGGTTTCACCGAAGAGGTAAACGTCTCAGACAGACCTGCATCACTTCGGGCTTTCCTCCCACATTAAGCTGACACGCCGCGATATAACTGGAATATTGTTAAAAGCGGCGTTAAACCCAACTCACTCACTAACTCACTTAAGTTCAGCGTAGGC